GTTCAGGGTCTCACTACTAGATCGGACTCGTAGTGAGCCACCTGTGTTCAGCCTCTCAGGAGTTGGGATTATAGGCGCGCGCCACCACGCTCAGTCCCAATTGTCATCTCAGTGCACCCGGGGGCGGGGCGGTATGGCAAGCCTGGCCCCTGCGTCTGCTTGCAGGCGCTTTAATCTGCTCAGCTATTGGGCCGGCCCTGCTTGTGCCTTTATGTGCTTTATTTCCAGTGATCAGGACACACAAGACCTACCCTCCGGGGCAGTGTTCAGTCTGTGACGCTGTGTTGGCAGTGCTGCTGTGCTTTGTGGAACGGACTTGCCTAGCAGGACCCGAGCCCAGTACTCCTGGGCCAGCCCCGCCCTCCCTTCCTCCCTCCACTGGCCCCTGGGAACGCCGTTCTTCTCCTGCTCCTGTGAGTGAGCTGGGGCTCAGCTCCCAGCACTGCAAAACAAAACAAAACAATACAACCCCAAAAGCTTAAAAACAAACAAACTAGAAAAGAAGGAAAGAAACAAGAAAAAAGAAACTAAAAAAAACAAAACAAGAAATGCCCTGGAGGAATGGGCTATTGCTGTTCACAGCCGCCATATGAAGGTATGTTAAAATAACTGCAGAGCAAGAGAAGTCAGAACAGAATATACATGCAGCACAACTCCATTTACATAAAAATCTAGAAAATGGGAAAAATCTACAGGGTGGCGGCTGCACAGAGAACAAGTGAGATGTGATTGATTGAGAAAAGCAGCTTCCAAAACAGCAGCCCACCACAACAAGCGTTTATTTCACAGAGAAATTACCTAGGAGGATGGGCTCTGGGGTAATTTTTGTTTTATTATTTTGCTAAAAACTACAATAGAAATGTTTTAAAGAAACAGAACTCTTCTTGTGCACAGGGAGGAGGAAAATGAAGCGGTAAGAGGGCCTGGTGTCACACGATCCAATGAGAAATGTCACGAGCCCCTCAAAGCCCAGAGTGTCCTGTGCTTGGACTTGGTGGGTGGGGACAGGAAATGAATCTGGAGAAAGTGGCCAGAACCCACTTCTGTTCAGGGTCCCGGCTCCTTTTCTCCTTCTGAGCATGCGCAGGCCCAGAGCAGTTTTTTCAGGTCTCCGATGAACGGAGCATACGGAAGGTCAAACAGTGATGTCCACTAACAGGGGCCCTTCAGTGGCTCCATTAAAAGTCATGTCGTGTTCTCCAGGACTGGGGCTTCCCACCCACAGAGCCCCTGGGGAGCCTGCAGCCACACTGGAAGCTCCTGTTACATAGCTCGGGTAGGGGAGCCTGCCCCCATCCGGCTTTTCCCTTGGGTTTCCTGTTTCCCTTGAGTTCAAGGCCTGGCTACATAGTGAAGCTCTGCCTCAAAAAACCAAAAAGAAAAAGAAGTTTAGCGTAAGCGAAGGTTCATGGTCCGCTCTGTCCTTTGCTGCCTTTTGCAAAGTGGAAATTGTGGTCTGGAGGAAGCACGTACTACTGGGAGGAGAGGAGCCTCACTTGTGCCCTCTGTGTCCCCCTGCTCTAACCCCTCTCCCAGGAAAAAAGGTGTTAATGACCTGCTGTTCAGCTTTAGGGTGCACTGTAGCACCAGGCAAAGGCCCGGGCCCGGAGCCCCACTCCAGCCCGGCAGCTGTG